CTGCAGTACACTTTTTTTCGATGCGTTGATTTTCAGATTCATTTTCTTGTTTTGTACGTTTAGCACCCCTAACACATCAGTCTTTTCACGAAAATTGTCTATTATCAGAATTTTGTCACAGTTCAAGCATGCTCAATAGAGCTACTTGTCGTCGATGTTAAAATCGCTTTTCGAATCCATCTCACGAAATACTGTCATCTGAAGATAGGCCGTGAGAATCCTTGGCACACTTTTCTAATAACTTCAGCGGTTTTCCTTCCACGACCCTTTTGCACACTGCAAGAATCTCTAACAGTCTGCAAGATTCTCTAACAATCAGCAGTTTCCGCAAGTTTCGAAAGATTGTCAATCTTTCGAAATTGAAATCGTGATTCTTGTCCTTCATTAACATCTTACAGCAGCACTCACCGGCAGAGTTGAAGAGGCTAGGCTTGTTTTGTACCATCATGGAACATCTTAACGATAAAAAAAGCTGCTTTTTTCTCCCCTTATCCTCTACCGCCGATTTTTTCAGCCAAATCTAAAATCTTTCAAAGGATTTTTCAAAAATATTGGCCTTTTTTTCCAACGAATTTTTAGGATTATAGAAAATAGCTCTTTTTTTGTTACCTTTTTGGTTCGACCGCATTTGTCTTTTTCGAAGTCCAGTAGTAGCTGATCAGTCTGAACTGGGCTGTATCATTAAAGAATCGAAATCCAGGGAAATTTCCAGTTTCAGGACGGTGCTGACGAATTCAATGGATGAGCAGGAGCCATGCTCTTTCAATTTGCGCCTCATCGAAGCAGTGCGCAATAGCCGCTGTCTTTATGATGCCAAAGATCGGCTCTATCGCTCGTCCGATCACAAAACAAGAGTTTGGAATCGTATTGTACAGACGCTACAGTTTGATGGTGAGGCTTCTGAGACAGTTTTTTTTTTTTGGTAAAGCATTTTTATTTTTTTGTTCGGATAGCAGCCTATTTTATACCCTTCTTCATCGAGCGTTTTCCCCACAATTTTATTAAAATTTTTTGTTTTTATTGATATAATTTGGTGATTTGTAGAACGGAAATCGGGAATTTCCCCCTTGTTCAAGAATCTCGACCGCTTCAGCTAATTCTTGTTTTTTCTTTTTTTTTTTTTTCCATGTAGGCCTCTCGGCGCAAATAAATTGTGTACCTCTTCTGTTATTCGATCCTCAGCTATATGGATGCTTATGGCTTTCGATATTTCTCTAAAAAGAATACAGCTATGCCAAAATTAAGTACCAAAACTAAGTTGAAATCAAAGTTTTGGTTTTTATATAGTTCCTGTGTCTGGCTTTGCTGAACATCATGGGGATCTTGGAAAGCAGTGGTTTTTTCATGCAAAGCTTAGTTTTAAATGTTATCAGAACTGTCTCAGGGGGACAGTTCTTTTTAAGTTTTTTTGAGGGGAGAGGGGGAGCTGGGAAGGCATGGAGGAGTTCTAGTCAGGCTTTTATCCTCTCAGCGGGTCAGCGTAGCTATTTTTTCTTTTGTTCAGTGCCAGATATTGGGATATTTGGAAAATCTGTTAATTCTGAGTCTGATTTCAACTTTTCCGATCGCTTTGACTTGTGCTGATTGCCTGCTGGTTAGTGTATTGGCTTTCCTGACATTTTTGTTTCATTTCATAATTGTTTTATAGCTTAACGATTCTCTTGGCAGAAGTAGTTGGGCATGGCTTTACCCCC